GCCACTAAGCCATGCCAGCTGGGCTCAGCTGGGTTTCTTAATGACACAGGCACCTAGTGTGAGCAGTGTATCTCAATGTGAAAAATCCTTCATTGCTCAAAACAAATTCTTACATTCTCAAAAGATTTTTTAAAAGGAAGCTAGCCCCTAAATACTAGTTTTTGTCATGGGAGTGGAACATAGTCAATGGGGAGTTTTCTACTGGGTGGATTAAAAGATTTTCAAGACCCATTAGTTCACAGGCTGGTGATCTATCCACTGAGTCCAACCTGCTAGGGCTTGAACACATTTTAAATAAACCTACCTGCAATGCCGAAACCGGTTTGGCTCAGTGGATAGAGCGTCAGCCTGGGGACTGAAAGGTCCCATGTTTGATTCTGGTCAAGGGCATGTACCTTGGTTGTGGGCACATTCCCAGAAGGAGCTGTCCAAGAGGCAGCTGATTGATGGTTCTCTCTCATCAATGTTTCTAACTCTCTATCCCTCTATCTTCCTCTCTGTAAAAAATCAACAAAATATATTTTTTAAAAGATTTTCAAGATAGAATTTGTTTTCCTTCTATTTCCTCATAGTGTTTCATTTCCATCTATCACCATTTACTATGGTTCTCATTTAGAAAACTAAATTTCTTAGACATCCCCTTGCATTGTTTATCTGTTTAATTTTACAGAATAAGGTTCTAAGTAGAAAAGGAGCTCCAACTGTTATACTCATGGAAACAATGAATAAAAATTTAAATTTTAGATATTTTAAAAAATATCAGACCAATTTAGAAAAGTGATATAGTACAGGAGTGATAAGGGATACAGGCTTTGGATTCAGAGAGACCTTAGTTGAACATATTGGAATCCTATTTACTAGTTATGTGGTTGAAGGGAACTATTTATTTAATTTTAAAATATATTTTTATTGACTTCAGAGAGGAAGGGAGGGGGAGAGAGAGCTAGAAACATCAATTATGAGAATCATTGATTGGCTGCCTTCTGCATGACCCACACTGGGGATTGGGTCCACAACCCAGGCATGTGCCCTGACTTGGAATCAGGAATCAAAACATGACCTCCTGGTTCAAAGGTCAACACAACCATGGAGCCACACCAGCCAGGTGGGAACTATTTAATTTTAAAATCAGGTGTAATATATTTTAGCGATAAAATGAGGTAAATGAAATAAGTGATTTTAAGGTATTTGTCATGGTAGCTGGCTGATGATAATAAGAAGATAAAAATCAATAATATGGGTAGGTGCTTACTATGAGCCAGGCAGTTTCTAAGTAGTGTACATCTCTTATATTGTTTAATTCACACAGAAACTCTATGAGATAAATTATTATTATCACCTGTATTTTATAGATGCAGAACCTGAGACAGAGGGATTAATTTGATGAAGGTAATACAGCTAATAAATGAAAGAGCTAAGATTAAGACCCAGGTATTCTAATGTTCAGATTCTTAAAAATAAGTCAGCCTGCCCTTCTTCCCCTCTCCCTCTCCTCTCCCTCTCCCTCTCCTTCTCCATCTTCTTTTTAGAGAGTACTCAGATGCTTGGGGTCGCATTGTATCTAAGCTTCAGGAATTTGAATTCCTGTTGTAGAGTAAGTAATGAATAGTTGAAACTCGGGTTCCCATAGGAGAGTGATATATATGTCATGTTTTACTGCCCTTTGTTTCCCCATCACTTATTATGATGCACATAATAGGCACTCAATTAATATTAATTAAATTGATCTAAACTGAAAAAGACAAATTCTCCTGCTTCCTGTAAGGCCAATTTCTCTTGTGGAAGAGTCTAGATAACATCTAAAGAGAAAGCATTCCCATCTGGAGGCAAGGAAAACAAATTCCCTTGAATTGACCGCTAAATTGCATTTCTCTTTCCAATCCCATACTTCACACTGGCTGAACCACTCCAAGGAAAACAAGCCAGGCAAGCCCATCTATCAGCCAGGCAGCGGGGCAGGCCAGACGCAGATGAATTTTAGGACCCAGGCTTCAAGGGATACACAGGATGAAAGAAACTGTTGTGCAACCTGCGGCAGTGGGATTCCTCAGCTAATGACCCCGATGCTGCTCACCAGGACATTTAAACTGTTAGCCAGCCATCTTGCACTCTTGCTGAATTGCTGAGCACCAATTCCTGATTTAGACTAGAGAGCTACAGTGCCTGCTAAGGAGGATTCAGGGGGCAGTCCTTGATTGTGTGTTTTGCCTCCTCACTCTTCCCCTCTTTTAGTGCTTGACCCAAGAGCACCAGACAGAGAGAAGCAGCAAAGAGGTTGACGATATGCCAGCTCTGATGGAGGACTATATCTCCTTAGCATTCCTCCGACTCTAATAGGCTTCCTTTATGAGAAAATAGCACATTAGATTTCAATCATGGCAGGTTTTCCAAACACTGGAATGGGGATAATATCATAGCGCCTTAGCAACTTGGTTAGAAAATGGGTCCTGATGCTATAAAAACAATTGTGCTTGAGCCTGGTGTGTGGTACTATGCTCCTGCAGGCTGGCGAGAGCCTGTGTGCCCCTCTTCCTAATACATCCAGGGGCTTCAGGTCGGTAGCCTAAAATCAGTCATGTAAGGAGCATTTACACTAGGAAATTGGCCAACTCTACACATCCGAATGTTGTGTTTTTATTCCTCACATTATTGCTAATAGAAGAAAGATGCACAGACTCTTCATTAAGGCAATCTAAAAGTACAAGAGTTCAGCAGAAACAACACCTCTAGCCATTCATGAGTGAAAACTCCTGGGCTCCTAATAGCTACCTCACAGCCTGGGTGCAGAAGTCCTGGGTGCACTCGCCTTCCCATCCTCTTCACAACACCTTGGGGCTCACATCCTGGTGGTTCCCACAAGGAAGGAAAATCTATTCTAAATTTAATGTTTCACATCAGGGGCTTATTATTCATAGGTGAGGCCCATTCAATAAAAACATCACCACAAAAACCATAGAAACCAATATTTTTTTTTCAAGAACAGAATAAGGAATGAGATACAAGGGAGAAATTGAAAACCTAAGTTAAGAATAGCCACTGAAGTTGAAGGCACAATTCAGATCCCTGGAAGCCAAGGGATAAAGGCAAAATAGAAAATACTTTTTTATATCTGAGATCTGGTCTAAAAGCAACCTTTGCCTTCAGCTCTAATATACATTTTCCAAACAAGGCATTAAGTAGCATAACACATTGTGCAATCACCCAAACTATAGTCAAATAATTATAGTATCATATATATACTGAAGACACAATATACAGAATGAAGATCCTGTCATATTTTATGGTTGTTTTCTTTCTTTGTTTTCCTTCTCTCCCCCCCCCCCCCCCCCAATAACCAGGCTAGCTTTAGACCAGCCTTGATTATCCCACTTAGGAGATATGCTATAGAGCTGATTAAAAAGGAAGCGCAAAGAAGGGGAAAATGCATGCTAGGAGGAAAATAAGAAGGAAAGCTCCACGGAAGTCCTTACAGGGATTCTTTCAAGTTAGAAAAAATAGTGAACTGAAATTGTAGTCTTCTCATTGCGGACCATCTCCCAGCTCTGCCACCTATCAGTTTATGCTGGTCAGCACACAGAATAAGTATTCCTTTACAAAAGAAGTCCTTAAAGAAGAAGGGTATTTGCCCACAGAATAGAATTACTAATTCCTAGAATCAGGCTGAGCCTGAGGGACAGTTTTAAACACCACCACTGTCAGGTCATCATCCAGGCCAGAATGGTGTCTAGGGACAGGGAACGCCAGCACTTTGGTGGGCGGGGGAAGGAGATACTCTCACTGTCAGGATTTGTGGTCTTATAATGATCACAAATGAACATTTCTATTACTTATGCCCAGTGGCTCTGGCTCTACTCTCTGGGTGACATCAATGCTGTATTTTCCATATGACAGCCCTTGAGGTCTAAAAGTTAAATCCCTTTAACTTTTTCTTCTCCAGGTTAAACATATTCATTCCCATCAGCCATTCAATCCTTTCCAAAAGGCTCAGGGAAGAACTGAACAAGGATTTCCAGAGGCATAACATTTACTTATTTTTACATATTATAAAGTATTTACTGAATGTTTAGAATTATCCTATTTTAATTAATTAATGATAACAAGAGCTACTGAATTTGATAATACATTTTTAGGATTCTGGTTACTTAAAATGTACCAAATTTTGGAGCTATTTTAAACATAATTTATCCTTTCTTTGATAATTCAGAAAGTATACGATTCCAGAAAACATCAAAGCCACCTTATGGCTGTATATTTTATTGTAAAGCAACTGTACAGAAGAAGTGTTGAAGTGAGTGTACTGGCTAACAAAATAAAACTTTCTTTACCGGTAACCTAGGTTCCCAGGTAGTTTTGTTGTGGTTTTGTTTTTTCATTTCAGTTCTCTTCTATTACATCTATTACATTCAATTTTTCTTTAACTTTAATCAACACATAAGCTTTTATTCAAAGCACAAAAATCCCATTGCATCCGCGAAGACAGAGTAATTTGCAACCAAGGAGCACAGAAAACCTTTGCTTTCATTTTCTCTCCTTGTCAAAATACTGTTTATCATAACATTGCTTAACATTAAATAAGAAGGTAGAGAGTGTTGGAAAAGTATGAAACTAAGGTGTTTTCATATTACACTTACTCCCATCATTTGATCTGAGACCAGGAAGAGAGACAGGAAAAGACCATTTGAACAAAACCTTGGTATAGTCCTGGCCTTCTTAAACCTGAGGTTCACTTCCTTTCCCTTCCAGTTATTCCCCCAGGGCTGTCCCTAGCCCCTTCTCAGTACCTAAACAGGTTTTCCACACCTTCCCACAATTGCAAGAACAACCACCCTGTGCCAGGATTTTCATGTAAAGCTTCCACACTACAGAAAACAACCGCTCAGCAACCACAGTCCACTGGAGCGTTTTTTGAAAAGCCTCATTTTATCAGGCCCGCAGACATCGCCCTTAACAAAGCAGACCCACCGCGGCCGGCCGCCAGCTGCCAGGCCAACCAGACTGACCTTCAGAGGAGAGATGTGGGACTGCAAGACGTATCCATGGACATTTTCTATCTGCGACAGGTTCTTTTCTGACACGTGCACGAGCTCGGGGCCTCTCACTTCGTGGGTCAGTCGAGGTAAGGAATGATCATGCGGAGCATCCTCATCTTGGTATCGATACTTCTAGGTGAAAAGGCAAGAAAGAAAACTAGCGTGAGTGCTTGCATAGGGTATGTTCCTGAACCTCACATTCTAACTGCAGTTGGAGGACGCAGTGTACCTGTCCTTGGCATCCAGATGGGCTTTACTGAAGACGTTTTTGGTGGTCACCACACACCAGGTCAAGTGCAAGCAAAAGCGAACCAGCCGTCAAAATGGACCAAAACTGTTGAATTGCTTTCACCTGACAACATATTATCTCTACGTATGGGCTATGGAAGGGTGCCCAGATGCACGGCCTACCACAGGTGGCTTGTAGGAGAGGCAAGTGCTTGTTAAGAACTGTTTAATCCAAAGCATAAACAACTTAATGGGCCGGCTTATTCTTTTCAGGTGACAGGGGTCTAAACCTCCTGGGGGGAACTGCTGGTCAGCTTGTTTCATAAAACAGTGTCGGTCATGTTAAATATCGGGAATCATTTCTCCTAAGAATTCTAAGTACCACTCACAACCCAGCTAGTAAAATGTTAGTGTGCCTTGCTTTGCTTTTGTTCTCTGTGAACGATATTATGGGGTATTATGGGCCAACGTCCAAATACTGTCATACCATCATCTCAAGCTTAACTTTGTCTAACTTTATCCCAGTACCCCATTATTATCACCAACAGTTATTTTTATCATATCCTATTGCCAACAACATGTTTTCTTACAAAAGCATGCCTGCATTTCTTTAATTTTTTAGGTGAAAATATGACCTTTTTGAACATCACCTCTCAGTCTGACTCATAATCTGAGTAACAAGAAGGGTTGGCCATTCAATCTGTTGTCCACTTTTATTCAGAAGTTGATTATCATCGCTTGTATTTCCCAGAGAGGCCTTCTCCATGTCCTAAGCTTAATATTAATTTCAAAACAAAACAAAAATACAGCAAACAACATGTTGACTATAGTTTGCAAAGGACTCTCATCTGTTTCTTCCATTGCAATCCTTCTTACCTACTGTATGATGCTCTATTTTTCTTTTTTTGTTGTTGTTGTTAAAAATAATTTTATTGATTTTTTACAGAGAGAAAGAGAGAGGGATAGAAAGTTAGAAACATCGATGAGAGAGAATCATCTATCAGCTGCCTTCTGTATACCCCCTACTGGGGATGTGCCCGCAACCAAGATATATGCCCTTGACTAGAATCGAACCCGGGATCCCTCAGTCCGCAGGCCGACGCTCTATTCACTGAGCCAAACTGGTTTTGGCGATGCTCCATTTTTCTTATGATAAAACTGACACTCAACAGAGGTTCAGAGACTTGTCCGGGGTCACCTAAGTAATGGGCAACAGAGCCAGGACCTTGTTCAGTTCATTTACATTAGAAATCTCTCTCTACAATCACCAAACCCTCCCAGCTCCCATGAGATGAGGAAGCCCACATCTGATAACTGAATGGACAATTTGGTAGATAACACCTCTTGGAGAGAGAACACACTTCAAAATGAGGTTAGAGCATTTCTGTGGACTGCACAATACCATCCATCTGTTTTCTTAGCCCTGTGAATGATTTGGGAAGGTAACCTGCCTCGAAAATAAAGATCTGGTTTAGCATTCATTCTTGATCAGTTATGTGTTCACTGGGAGTGGGAGAAGATGGTGCATATGCCCGGTACAGTGTCTGGGCCTTCAGCCCATCTACCCCCCACACTTCCTCCCCATCTTCAATTCTCTCAGAGAGGCATTGCCACCTATTCAGTTATCTGAGCCAGAAAAGTAGGAGTCATTCTGACTCCATCCTCTCTTTCACCCCCCCACCATCTGCCAATTTAATAAATCACTGAGTCTGTCAAATTTATATCTTGAAACTACTCCATTCTCATCCCCCACTACCACAAACCAACCCACTGATCTGCCCACATTCAGATTCTCATCAGCTCTAAGCTGGCTAGGCTGCCGCTGAAGCTGCTCCTTGCTCAACTATCCTCTACCCTGCACCAGGGGCCTTTCTGAGTCACAAACTGACAAAGTCCTTCTCTTTATGGCCCTTTAGTGGCTGCCACCACCCACAGGGCAGAGTTTAAGCTTCCTTACCCCCAACACCACCACATGAGCTGAGCCTCATTACTTTTTAACTCTTTTATTTCACCAACCCAACTCAGGATAGTGGAGTAAATGCTAGAAATCATTACTTTCATTTTTAAAAGCTTTTTTAAAATATTGTGGTAATATACACATAATTTTACCACCTTAATAATTTTAAATGTATAATGCTAGAAATGCTAGAAAGTAAATGCTAGAAATCATTACTTTCATTTTTTAAAGTTTTTTTAAATGCTAGAAAGTAAATGTTAGCAATTATTACTTTCATTTTTAAAAGCTTTTTAAAAAAAATTTGTGATAATATACACATATTATAATTTTACCACCTTAATCATTTTAATGTATAGTTTAGTGACAGTAAATATATCCACATTGTTATGTAACCAATCTCCAGAACTTTTCACCTTCCAAAACTGAAACTCTCTCCCCATAAAACAAAAGCTCCTCATTTTCTCCTTCCCCAGCCCTTTGTTAACCACCACCATTCTACTTACTATTTCTATGAATATGACTACTCTAGACACTTTACTTCAATGGAACCAGACAGTATTTGTCTTTTTATTGCTGGCTTATTTCACTTAGCATAATGTCCTTGTGCTTTATCCATGTTGTACCATGTGTTAATATTTCCTTCTTTTTAAAGGCTAAGTAATATTTCATTGTATGCACAAACCACATTTTGTCTACTCTTTCATCTGTAGATGGGCAGTTTGGTTGTTTCTATCACTTGGTTGTGTGAATAATGCTGCTATGGATGTGGGTATACAAATATCTCTTCAGCACTTTACTTTCAATTCTTTTGGATAGGTACCCAGAAGTGAAATTTCTGGGTCATATGGTAATTCAATTTTTGTTTGTTTGTTTCTTGCAGGATTTTTTAAGCTTTTTAAGAGTTGACATATGTAAAGCCATATTTATGTCATACGTAAAAATCTGAAACATAAAGATCCAAGGATACCATAAGTAAAATGTTGCAAAGTTCAAGTAATTACTGTGACTCCTCAAAGATTCCTATAGTAGGATTCAGCTGATTTAGAGAAAGATGTTATCCATAAAAGTATACATCTCACTGACTGGTTTGGATTGAAAAAAAAATCCAAAAATTTAAGATAATAAACTTAGTTGAACTTATGTGAGGTCACAAATAACTTATTTTAAATTATTTTCATAAATTTAAGATTCAGTTCAAAGACTGATAGGGCCTCAAGTTAGACTGAAGAAACCAATCAATATTTGATTAGTAAAATTTGTTCATTTTAACATTCATTGATCCTTTAGGCCCAGCTTTCATATTCCTTTTCTAGAAAGCTTTTGTGAACTGAAATCTCGATTGTGTTGGTGTTTCCATAGCTCCCTACACTCCCCCAATCACTGCTTTTATCATGCTGTATGGTTGCATAATTTTTGTTCGTATGTCATTGAATCATAAGATTTTTTGTGAGAACCGAGATCATTTAGGTCTTGTTTATCCTCATGTTTCCAGTTCTTAGCCAAGTGCCTGACAAATATGCTCAATAAGTATTTTTTGAATAAAATTATACATGACAATTGAACAAGTGGATCAAATAAGCATGGGCTGCTTAAGCTACAGAGGTATTCCAGCTTCTAAATACAAACTGCTTCATTGCAAAACATTATAATTTCAAGTTCAAGCAAAAAAAAGTCAACCACATTATTTGTTTCACGTAACCTTAAAGAACATCAGATCCTTCAGTATTCTCTCTCTCTCTCTCTCTCTCTCTCTCTCTCTCTCTCTCTCTCATCATTCCTTTCAGAAATACTATATGCTAAAAATACAGACCAAATGAGAACCAGTTCTTGACCTCAAGAAGACAAGAAGTTATTGAGTGAGTCATATGTATGTGTAGCTAAGTCATGATACTTAATGATAATGACTATGAGTACAAACTGAGTCTGTGGCAGTAGAAATAATTTATCATTCGAAATAGGATCTAGAATGGTAATAAAAAGAGGTGAGGGATACTCTAAGCAAAGGCAACAATGTGTGCAGAGAAGATAAGTGTTAAAAGGGGATGATGTTTTAAAGCATGGGTGGAGAATATCTAGGCTGAGGTCCATATAAGGCCCATGAAATCATTTGGTTTGGCCCCTGTGAAGTAATTAGATGTCTGACCAAATATAGCATGCTAATTGTTAAGTTGATAATTTTGTACAGCCTGTGAACGATGCTATATTATACATATCCAAATGGCCTTGACAGAAAAAAGGTTCCCTATCCCTATTCTAAAGGAACAGTGAGATCTTGAAATGGATTGTAGCAGATGCTAATATCCTCCCCCCATCTTTCCCTCTCCCCTTCGTCCCCCACACCAGCACCACCACCTAAATCCTTGGAAATCCTTTTCACACATTCAAGGCGCACATCTATATACTTCATACTTCTCAGGAAGCTTGCCCTTGATCTAAGCCTCTTCACTTAGGAGGACTGGGAGTTAAGCTGGAACTTGCAACTCCCAAACCTCAAAGTGAAACAAATCACAGGGCTGCGAATTCCACTGCAAATCACCTGACAGGATCAGCTTGAAGCTAGACAGCACCTGAACCTGCATTCTTAGAGAACCCCTTGTTGCTTTCCTCACTCCTGTAAGCATTTCTCTTGGGAACTGCCCAGCATAAATCATGCTCACACTAATTCCTATTGGAAGTCTGCTTCAGATGAGCCTGCCATAGATCTTGATGCAGCCTCTGGTGTGAGATGTGAGGTAGGGTGTGGCAGTAGACAAGCCTGAAAGACAGCCTGTTGTAGACAGCAGGGAATTAGCTAGGAAATCTAAACAGACTCTCCCTGGTGCCAACCCAATATTCCCTCCCTTTCCCCCATTATCTGGGAGTGATGACTAAGCAAGAGAAGACAAGAATTGGTGAAAGTACCATTTATAACTCACATGGAAGTTTCCCAAAGAAATAACCCAGATGT